GTTTCACTTGAGACCTTATTAGGAGTTGGCCGGGTCTGGGGCTGCAGAGAACTTTGCAGTGGAGGAAACCGAGTGTGAGGAGGTTCTGAAGTGGGAGGTGGCAGGATGAGGAAGCGCCAAGGTGGGAAGCTGTCTGGAACATTGGAAACCAACGAGAAGGGCTGTGTGGCCGGAGTCCAGGGAGGAAAGGGAGTTCTGGAGCATTCGAGAATGTGCGTGTGCTCAGGCCAGCTGGTGAGGCAATTTTAGAGAGGAGGAGAGCGAAGGAGAGAGTGAGACCCTGGTTAATCAGACAGACACATGTTCAAGATGGCGACCAGACTTTGCCTCTTTGTGAATTTTTACTTACTTAGTTTTACTTAGTGGTGGACAGGTCTAGGAAACCACCAGACAACACACCTTAAAAGAGACTGAGAAAGACAAGAGTCTGGTTATGATTGAGGAGTTTTTATTTCCTTTCACTAGACTACTCACAATCTCTTCTTGGGTAACTTCCTGATACCCAGGAACAGGAGAAACAGAATTTGTAGTTTTATAAAAACAGAATCACACTGAAAGAAATTGCATAGTCTTTTGGGGGCATTTCAGTTGAGCTGGGGAAATTTTCCTGCCCTGTCATAGACTTCATATTTCTTGCCACTGGAGTAGTTGTATCCCCCAGATGGACAAGCTTGGGCTTTCCTGCAGAAATCTTTGCGTGCTGACCAGAACCAAATGATATATTACAGCTCATTTTCCATGAACTTAAATTTTAGTTGTCTATTGATATTTGGAAGCCCCTCCAATCACATTGATTACTTACTTATAAAATCTTTTTTAGGAATGGGTTATATGCTCTCATAGCTAATCTCTTAAACTATATGTTAAATTTTGTGTTGGTTTCAGAAAATAATGTTTTTCAATTTTGTCCTCAGATTCTGGAGATGCACTATATTTTGAACCTGTGAATTCTTTTTGGGTACATGAGACATTTTGAAAATCCTATGGATAATTTTAAAAGTTCAAGGCAGGAAACTTACTAGGATTACTTATTCACAATTTTAATCTAACAGGAACTGTTTTTTCTCCAAGTCTTTTCTGTCAATCTCAGGAATTCACTGAGGACTGACTGTGTGTCCAGCTCTGTTCTAGGTGCTTGAGGAACACGAAGAGATATCACATACTTTCCCTGCAAGCAACAGTCATTTTGTTTGGTAGAGCTAATCACTGTCGAATTGGCTGACCTCTACTGAATGGTCCATGCTCCAGGCAGTATAGCAAGGACTTCACATACTTTATCCCTAATTTCACAATAGTCCTGCAATGGTCTCACATTCCTTATTCAGATCCAGAAACTGAGGCTCGGTTGATTAATTTAAGTGCCTTGCCCAACATTCCACAGCTATAAAATCCAGGATTCAAATCTTACCGTTCGAATCTGAAGCCCAAATTCTTTCCATTCCCCTACTATGCCTGAAAGGATCCAAGTATGGAGCAGAATAGAAGTCAGTTGGGCCTAGAGAACAAGGAACTTTTTTTTT